AAGAAGTATGACATCAAGAAGCCCTAAATAACCAAAGCAGTCTTTAAAAAGAAGAACAAAGTTGAAAGTCTCACACATCCTGATTTCAAAACTTCCTACAAAGCTACTATAATCGAACACTATGGTACTGGCATCAGGGCAGACATGTAGACCAATGGAGCAAAATACAGAGCCCAGGAAAAACCCTCATGTAAATGCTCAAGCGATTTTCAACAAGAGTGCCAAGGTCGTTCAGTGGGTGAAGGACAGTCTTTTCAACAAATGATTCTGAGAAAACTGGATATCTACATGCAAAAGAGTTAAATTTAAACTTACTTATATCATATAAAAAGTATCTCAAAATGGATCCACGATCTAGAGATAAGAGCTAAAATCAAAACACTCAAGAAGAAAACTCTTATCATGGGACAAAAGCTTTATGACACTGGACTTGGCAATGATTTTTTGGATATGACACCAATAGCACAGGCAGCAAAAAAAAATGAGATGAACTTGATTTCATAAAAAATAAAAACTTTTCTGCACCAACACAAACCATCAACAGAGTAAAAAGACAGCCCATGGGATAGGAGAAAATATTTGTAAATCATATGTGTGATAAAGGGTTAATATCCATAAATACATTCTGGATACACACCTACAACTTGTCAACAATGATAACAAATGATCAAAAAGGCCTTGGGTGCCTGGCCAGGTTGCTCACTTGGTTGGAACATCATCCTGATACATCACGATTACAGTTTCTATCCCTGGGCAGGCTACATACAAGAATTAACCAATAAGCCCTGCTGGTGTAGCTTAGTGGATTGAGCACAGGCCTGCAAACCAAAGGAGTGAGGTTCGATTCCCAGTCAGGGCACATGCCTGGGTTGCAGGCCAGTTCCCAGGAGGGAATGCATGAAAGGCAACCATACATTGATATTTCTCTACCTCTCTCCTTCCTTTCCCCTCTAAAAGATAAATAAATAAAATCTTTAAAAAAAGAATTAACCACTGAATGCATAACTAAGTGAAACCACAAATCTCTCTTGCTCTCACTCTCTCTCATCAATAAATTTTTAAGAAATTTTTGAAAAGGATGTGGATGGACATATCTCCCACGAAAATACACAAATGACCCATAAGCACATGAAGAGATGCTCAGCATCACTATCATTATGAAAATGCAAACCAAAACCACAAGGAGATGCCACTTCACACCTATTAGGCTGGCTGTCATTTTAACACAATAGGAAATCACAAGTACTAATGAGTAAGCAGAGAAACCGGAACCTTTGTATGTTGCCAGTGGGAAGACGGAATGATGCAGCTGCTGCAGAAAACGGTGTGGCGGGTCCTCGGAAAGTGAAACACAGAATTACCGTGCAACCCGGTAATTCCACTTTGGGGTGTAAACTCAAAAAAACCCCAAAAGCAAGAACCCAAACAGGTATTTTACTCCAGTGCTAATAGCAGCATTATTCACAACAGCTAAAAGGTGGGAATGACCCAAACGTCCGTTGACAGAGGAGTGAATAAATGAAATATGGCATGCATATATATACATGTAAAACACTAGAATATTATTTAGCCTTACAAAAAATGAAATTCTGAAGCATACTATAATGGGGATGACCCTTGAAGGCAGGATGCTAAGTGCAATAAGCCAGTCAGAAAAGGGTAAATACTACGTGATCCCACTGGCATGTGCTTCCTGGGTGGTCACACGCAGAGAGAGGTGACGTGGAGGAATGGTTAGCAGGGGCCGAGAGGAAGAGGGATGCGGCGTTACTGTCTAGTAGGTAAGAGTTCCACTTGGGGAAGACGAATAAGGTCTGGAGATGGGTGGTGGTGATGGCTGCCCAATAGTGTGAATTTACTGAGTGCCACTGAATTGTACACTTAAAAACGTTAAGATGGTTGCCCAGGCCGGTGTGGCTCAGTGGACTGAGTGCAAAGCCAAAGGGTGCTGGTTTGATTCTCAGACAGGGACCGTGCCCGGGTTGTGGGCCAGGCCTCCAGTAGGGGCCCAAGAGAGGCAACCAAGTATCTCTCACACACTGGTGTTTCGCTCCTTCTCTTTACTCCTTCCCTTCCCCTCTCTTTATAAGAAGTAAATAATTAAAATCTTTTTTAACAGATGTTAAGACCCTGACCAGCACAGTCTTTAGCTGTGACCCCTCAGGCCCTGACCCCTTAGGTGCCAGACTGTTTGCCCTTGGTCTGGCCCTGCCCAAGGGGCTGGTAAAAAGCACTTTCCACCGAGGGTTAAGAGACTCGCATTCTAGTCCTAGCTCCATCCGGGGCTGGCTGTTTGACGTTGGCTGAGTGACCACCTCCCTGGGCCTCAGTTACACACCTTTCCTGTGTAATAAACATCTGCCTGCCCTTCCTCACCGCCTCGCACCCAGCGGCGCTGTAAGTGAAGGAAGGACTTGCGAGGAGCCCAGGTATCTTCCCAGCCCTCCTCCCATCCCCCCTGGACTCGGCTTTCCCTCCTCCCAGATCAGGGCTGGTGGTGTTTGGGGGGGGGGGCCAGTTTATATACCCCTGATCGTGTGCTAGATGTCGGTGGTGATCCGGAGGGTTATCTGTGTACCGATAAACCTGATATTTATAGCAAGTGATAACAGTTTTCTATGCTATTGATATCAACATTCTTAAACTTACAAGTTAATATAAATTGCAAAAAGTGAGTTAAGAATAAGTTAATAATAAGGGAAGTGATACTTAAATAACACACAAATCTTGAAGGTGGAACGTGAGTGGCTGGGGTACAGGAACCCCCACTGGACTGAAGGGACACACCAACCTGGCTCCCCAGGGCCCCGAAACGGATCCCCAAGGCCGGGCAGTCACCCCAAAGAAACCCAAAGGCCAAGTGCAGGAGTTGGTCCCGGTGCCAGAGGCAGCGACTTTACCAGCCAGTTCAAAACAACTAAGAAATTGAACTTGGTTCCGGGATCCTCCATCCACACAACTGGGAATTAATGAACTTCTACCTCCTCTTTTTAGAAACTCCTCATGCCTTCCTTCTCCATGAAGGAAGAGGGGGCCCTGACCAGGCCCTTAACGCAAGACACTAGGAATATGTTGGGTGCCTCTCCCAAAATCTGCATTTAAAGAGAAGCCTAGAGAGGGAAATCATCTCCATGGCCAGTGTGAGGCGCAGCGCCGCAGGCGCGGTGATGTCCTTGCCCAGGGAGCGGTCTTGGTGCCCAGAGCTCGCCTCCTGCACCAGGCAGGGCAAGTTCCCCACACACCCACGTCTTTAAGCAGGATACTCGAGATCCCCTGTGGATAAACCATCTAGAAACCCGATGAGGTCTAGTCCCCGCCACCCCCACTGCTGTCTGCTGGTCGGTCAAAGGGTCAGTCGGTCAGCCTTCAACACCTACCTACCTTCCCTGAGGAGCAGGTATGAAAGAAAGTTCCAGCTGACTTCGGCCGGAAGTTTAGGGGATGACCCTTGGAGGTGAGGGTGGGGGGGCAGGGAACAAGGCCACCAAAGGATCCATCTTCCCTTAGAAGGCTGGGAAGGTGGGGGACTAAACAATGGAATGTCCCTTTTCCTCTCCTCTGTATGGCCCATAGCCCATACTATGAAATATTTTTATCTATCAAACTGCATGAATAAAAAAATAATTATCTTCCCCATTTTGATCATCAAAGATCTCTGGTAGCAATCAATAACCAAGTTCACATAATTCCAGCTGAAAGGCAAGGAGATTTAACCTTTTGTTTACTAATGCAGTCATTTGAATTCTTCACGATCCCATTTTCCATTCCTGTTTCCATAATCCAGCCTGGGAACACTAAAGACTCAGTGCCTGCCAGCCCGTGAAGGGGTGGGAGGCCCCGCACCAGTCAGCAGGTGTCTCTGCCTTCCCTTCACAAGGCAAGAAGACACTCCCCTGAATGATGCTCGTGGACAACGGAAGAACCACTGAGTTACATCCACCCCTTCTCAGTGGTGGTTTTTCGGAAGTGCTCCTCCCGACAGCCCGTTCTTTCAAACTGCGCGCACAAATGCAGAGAGAAGGCTAGAAACAAGCGCCCAAAAATGTCACCAGTGATGTCTTTCCAGGTGATGGAATCACAGGTATTCTTTTTTTATGTTTGTGTGTCTCTATTTTCTAACTTTTCTGCAATGATCAAAGTTGGCTTTTATAATAAGAGAAAGGATCAATAACATCTTTTTTTTTTTTAAATCAAGCTTGCAAGTTATTATGATGGGGATCAAGAGGAACAAGGCAAGCGTTCGAGGTCAGCTGGGAGGTGGGAGATCAGAGGTGGGGACACACGGTGCATCTGTTTCTGCCCAGCCGGGTTACAGGAGAGGGTGGGACTTGGAGACCAGGGGGACGTGCTGGAAGGCAGAATCCAAGGACAGCGTCAGCCTTCTGCTGTGGCCATAGGAAAGTCACTTCTCCTGGCTGCCAAGTGCCTTTCCCTCCGATGGCCCGTGCATCTCTGGGATGGTATTAGGATGGTGGTAACCACTTGTGGTATTCTCTTTTTAGAAAAGCATATTCAGTAACGGGGTGCGGTGAGGTCAGAGCTTTAAGGGACAAAATGAGATAAAACAGGACGTGGCATACAGTGTGTATTTTTACAGGCTTTGTTTCCCTGTCTCCTGTTGAGCTAATAAGACTGAATTTAAGACCTTTGGCCAGACATGCACTTGAAATAAGTCATTTCCGTCATAAAAATCGGGAGTCGGGCAGGATGACAGAACCCTGGACGCGGCGAGTTCTGATCCCCATCCACCACGCCCCCGGCTCTGACTCAGCTTCCTTGGGCACCAGGAGGGAGGTAACAGAATAGGAAGGCAGGGGCCACTGCATAGGTCTTCTTACATTTCCCACTTCTCATGTAAGCTTGCCCGTGGGAAGGCCACCAGGAAGAGACAGGGCTTCACCTGGGCCCTGGGCAACAGGAAGACCCTGGAGGGTGGCAAGGAGAGATGGGACTGCCCAGCCTGGCAGGGAGGGACATGGGCAAAGCAGCCCGGCACTGACCTCGGGGTATGTCCATGGGGTTGAAGCTAGCCAACAGGTCCCGGCACCACTGGCGGTCGCCTTCCACCTTGCTCAGCCAGCTGTTGCAGTTGAAGAAGTAACGGAGGTGCGGCCGCTTCGTGTCGGTTACAATCACGCGGTCTAGGTACCAGCTGGGGCTCTTGCCGGTGTTGTCATGCTCGATCCTGGGGCAGAAGCAGACCCCCAGGCTGTCATTGGCGGAACAAAGACGACTCCCCTCCTGCACTGCAACACCCTCATGTTGAGTGCAAAGAAAGGGTCCATCGTTTTGTTGTTGTTACTCTGTCTGTTGAATCCAGTTTCCTTGTCTACCAAATGCGGATGCCTTGCAAGGTGAATGTGCTTATTAATCAATGTTACATTGTTACATCGCATGGAAGGAAGTGTTGCCTTCCGCAGAAAATCCAGGACTGCCAAGGCTTCCCGCGGGATTATCTTCAGCTTCCCCTCTCTCCAATGCTCAGACCCCCCCAGTTACTCTCCTTAGTCCCACCACCCAGAGGATCCCCAATAGCCATCCAGATCGGTGGTGTCCCATAAAAACATCATACAGCTGCATGCACTCGCCACCTATGTAATTTTGTATTTTCTACTAGTCGCGCTGAAAAAGAAACCAGTGAAATTAATTTTAATAATATATTCTAATCCATATACCATTTCAACATGTAATCATGTAAAGCTTTATGAATAAGATATTTTACATTCCTTTCCTTATACTACGTTTTAAAAGATTTGGTGGCTACTAAACACACAGCATACGTGGCCTCGCCACATTTCAAGTGCTCAGCGGCGCCCCCGTGGCCCAGGGCTGCTGTACAGAACAGCACACATCCAGACTGTTGTAACGGGAACCCCTATAACTCCCCCCTCATCCTTGCCAGCCCTCGTTTCCTCTCTGAGGTCAGTTTCTTCCCCAGAACTTGACCCTGGGACAACCTCACTTTGCACCAAGCCTCTCATCCCTGCCCAGCACAGTGAAACCTTATCCCTACAGGTCTTGGTGGGACAAGCACAGCTCAAGCCAGTGCCACCCCAGCAGTGAATGGCACGTGTGACCGGCTCAGGATGCGTGCCTCTGCCTGTCACAAAGGAGGACCTCAGCTTAATGGTCACCTCCCCCACACCCGACACCCTCTTCCTGACCCACCCTTGCAAGGGCCCTGTTCCCCACACAGCTAGTGCCAGTGGCCTCACGTGTCCCTGACTTTCCCAGTAAAGGGGTGCCCGGTCCTACATTTTCCAGTGGGAGGAACTAGAGTCAGGGCTGAACTGAGGCAGCATCTGACTCCTGTTCAGGCCCTAGTCTGGGTGCAACAGACCACAGATGATCTTGACATCCAGACAAATGGGCATGAACTTGAATGGGGGCAGGTACGGGGGCAGGAGGGTAAAAATGGGCCGTTGAAGGCTCTTCCTCTGCAGCCTGGCTGAGAGAGTTATCCCTCCTGTTGCATTTACAAGACAAGATCGGGGGCACTCTCTGTCAACAGGCACCCTGCCATGTCTCGAAGCTTCCTGCTAACACTCTACCTTCCGGGCATCTTGACACTCGCTGAGGGCTCACTGTGCACCGGTTACTGTCCAAAGTGCCACTCACAGAGTCCTCACCACTTCTACAGACAAGGAAACTGAGACTTGGAGAACAAACCTGTCCGAAGTCCCAGAACTAGTCAATGGTGGGGCAGAAATCTGAACCAAGGCCCCCCAGACTCGGTCTGCTCCTGACCCCTGGAGCATATTTCATGCAACTGTGTTTCAGGGTCTCCTGGAGCATATTTCCTGAGTTGTGAAAAACCACCTCAAATTGTCTGAACTCAGAGAATGAAATCTCTAATGGGGACATCTAGAAAACTGTGACTCAGGGTGGGAGGAAAAGATCTGGGCCTTTGGTCCCCCCTCAGATGACATGAGGAGAGTGATCAACACTCAGAAAGTGTCAGTACGAGGTCAGTTCCTAGTCTACCTGCCTCCACCGCATCCCCGCCTGGCCGAGGGCCGGATTCTCACCTGATTTTGTAGAGGAGGCCCACGTTGTTGGTCCTCACCCGGAACACGTCAGTGTTGGCTTTCCCAAAGGCGGACTTGCTCCTGCAGAGAACATGTATACACATGGCTCAACCTGCGCTGGGCTCACAGGTCTGGGAGGAAAGCCAAGGGCTGGCAGCCCCCTTCTCCCTCCGCTGTCCCACTCCTGGGAAGTGCTACGAGCACCCAGTCCCATTCAGAGATGCCTTTCTGGTGTGATTTGGAGAGGCAGGCGCAAGGGCGGTTGGTATTCATCCTTTGCCTTCACACCCAGGATCTCACGGTCCTTGTTGTGCACTGTGAAGGCAAGCAGAGGGGGCAGTATTAGCCCCATGTTGCACACAAGTAAACTGCTCATTGATTGCAGAGTTGGGACCAGAACCTGCCTCTCCAAAGTCACGAGCTGATACCCCCCGGGTCATTCTGGGTGGGGACGGTGGCGGAGGAAGGCAGCGCCATGAAAGCTGAGGTGCTCTCTGGTCCGCAGGCCTGCCTCTCTAGGCCTTGCTCTTGCTGGGGAGAGTTGCAATGGCAGCCCCAAGTGGATGCAGACCTTGGGTGGGGGTCCATGGCCCTGCCATTCCAACAAGAAAGGAAATACTCAACCCAAATCGGCAACCAGGGAAGTGGGGCGGCAAGGAAGGACATATCCGGCGTCCTGCAGACGGTGCGAATGGAAGCAAGTGCACCTGAGATGGTCCACTGTGAGGTGCCCAGGCCGGCACAGACTCGGGAGCACCCCAGATTCGATCAGCTTGGACACAGGAGTCCTCCAGGAGCGAAAGCCTGACTCTCACACGGCTCCATCTGGCATCGGCTCCATCATCTTCCATGTGGGCCAGGACCCCAGCCATCCCAGCCCAGCCTGCTTGCAGGTCTTCCTGCCCCCCCCCCGCCCCCACCCTGCAGTGAGGCCTCCCTGGGGCTGAGAGCTGCAGACCCCACCCTGTGCTCCCGGCAGGGCTGCACCAGTGCAGCCCGTGGGAAAAGAGAAGCGCAAAGATATGTGCCTGATTATTGGCCATCCCTGTGTTTCCAAATAAAGAGGGAGGGCAAGGGTCTTTTCCCCGAGGGAGTAAAGCCCAGACTCAGTAACAGAAGGCTTTTTAGGTTCTACAGACTCAGAAGCTGTGACTCTGAAAATAGACCCGCTTTCGCAAACAGTCTGCCCTGGGGAGAAACTCCTCACGGTGGTGGTGGTGGTGGTGGCACTTCTCCAGACCTGGGCCAAGGGCCCGCCTAAGGCAGTGCAGAACCGTGAAAGCGGGTGAAATGTACCCTGCGGCAACTTTGTCTGGGGAAAGAGGGCCCGAAGGCGTGGCCAGTTTTGCTGGAGGGCAAGGGCCCACTCCCAGGCTCCCCAAATGCACCTGTCAGAACCTCACCTCCAAGGGTAATAATAACACACCACACTTGTTTGGGAGCCAAGTGGCGGTTAAATGACTTGGAAAACACATGAATGTCAACCCTGTGCTTCAGAGCAATGTGACTAGGAAACAAAGAAACAAACAGGAGGTATTTTCCGTTTCAAGAAAATTGACTTTTAGAATAAATAGACAAGAATCTTTGCTGCAAATAAACACCAAAGAAACAGCCACCCTGGGAAGCTAAATGATGAAATATTATGCAGCCATTAAAATCCGGTTATTAAGAAAAAGATTCCATGAAAGAAACAAGTTTATGATAGAGATTTAAAAGAAAAGGCGGGTTAAAAATAGAATGCACAAACAGCACAACCAACAAAGACTGGGAGATTTCTACAAAAACATCCCATCTACACAGTAAGAACTATTACGAAGCATTGGTTATTGACTCCGGTCTGTGTGTAACTTTCGGCTTTCCAAAGGGAGGTCTTGTTTGTATGATCACGAAGAAAGCACAGCCGTGCCTCAGCGGCCCCTCCTCCCAGCCCACAGCTGCCTGTGGTGAAGTCTTTAGAATAAGTTTGAGGACCATTGGCTGTGTCCCCTCAGGGTGTGTGGAATTTGGGGAGCAGCCAATGCTGATGATAAGGGGAAGAGGAGGCTGATGTGGAAGGGAAAAGGTAAGGTGTGAGTTTGGAAGTAAAGCAGCTGGCTTTCTGGGTATCCCTGACCGCTGCTCTCAGGGAGGGGTCCCCCGGGCCTTCAGAGAGGCCCTGGGCACCGACAGGGGAGTGGGCATTCGCACATCCCACCGTGTCTGGGAAATGGGCGACTGTGGTGTTTTTGAGCCACTCGGGAAACAAACTCCACAAAGCAAGTCGGAAGAAGGGAGACCAGGAGAAAAAGATGCCAGGTTGGCCGCAGGGGCGCTTGGCACTGTCCCAGATCACACTGCAGCCATCAGGGGGATCACGGGGAACAAAGCAATGGTTCACCGTGTTTACAGCTTGGCCACCAATGCAGTCTAGGCAGACAGAGAAGGCCTTCTGCATTGCTGGGGTCTCGTCTTTTGAGGAGGGAGAAGGAAGGACTCAGGGGCAAGTTCCCTCTCTCTAGGGGAGGGGCCAGAACAATCCCAAACAAGGCCCAACCTCAACGCACTGGGGGTCAGAGACTGAAATCCCCACTTCTGGCCCCTCCTCTGCTGAGTCAGAACACAGGTGCCCATGGATCTCAAAAACGACTGGGGGTGTGGAGGGAAGAGCAAAGGATAGGCTCCCTGCGCACAGGAAACCTTTGAAATAGACTTTTTCATGTCTCCTGCTGGGAGGCGGCCGCTTCTCCGTGGCTCCTGGCCCATCTGCAAAGGAAGGCTAATGCAGAAGCACACAGACCCCTCCCTGCCCGGGGTCCCCACCCAGGAGAGCCTTCAAGGCCACACAGGGCATTCCAGGCGCCCACTGGGCAGGGCCAGCAGGCTAAAATGCCAGGCATTCTCCGACACTCTCAGACAGCGAACTCTCCACAGGAGAGCCGTGTCCCAGAAGATACATGAGACCTCATCCTTTTGCCATATTCTGAACACGTGACCCAATGTTGGGTTGGTCCTGGATGATGGGGAAGGGAATCCCCAAGCCGTGGCTGTTGGCGTTAACTGGTGTGGGGGTCGGGGTACAGGTCAGCTTATTGGGGAATCAAAGTGAACATTCATGCCCTTTGCCACCAACAGCCACCAAAGTCCTTCTTGCAACAGGAATTATTTTGTGTTAGTAAAAAAAAATCCTGATAAGCCATATGGGAGTGGAAGGTCACAAATCCAGGAGCCTAGGAGAAAAGACACAAGAGAGAGCAGGAATTGAAGGGAGAGAGAGAAAGGATCGTGGGAGAAGCTGGAGAGAAAGACAGCGTGAGGGACATGGCCAGAGGCTGCAGAGAAAGGGTCAGGGAGAAACTCCAGGACAGGTGGTGGCTTAATTTTAAGACTACAGAGCCTGCCTAATGTTTCATTTTAAGTTCATATGAACCCTCTCTGATGCCCTGAGCTATCAGTGAAACCTGATCATCTCCAAACTGCCTTGCAGTCTGTGTGCATAAGTTCTATTCAGGTTGACATAGGGCTTTGTTCTGAGATGACACTGTATGGTGAAGAGGGAACAGCAGCAGTGAGACTAGAGATTTGGGAACCATTGGGCATTCTTAGCAGGCCTCAAGGACTGGAAGGGGTGACGCTGGGCTGAGCTATCTGAATCTGCATCTCACAGAGCACGGTGACCTCCCCAGCCAGCTGCATCTGGGTTACACAGGCCGCCTGGAATCCCTGGGAAAGCAACACTCCCCTCCCAGACCTGAGGCCTCCATCTCAAATGTAAGGGGTCTTGGTGAGGATTGGGCCTGAAGCCTCCATGCTTTTGAAAGCTGTTCCCTTCTAAAGTACCCTCTTTCAGTTCCTCTCTTACCCAGTCCTTTTCCCCATGCAAGGCCCAGATTACATGGCCTCCCCTATACAGCCCTGCTTTAGCCACACTAATCCGACATCATCCACTAGCTCTATTGCAAAGAACGGGGAGAGAAGCTGAGAGCACAAAGCAGACCTGTCCTCAGCCTCTGCTGTACCTGGCATCTCTCTGTGCATCACCTCTTGCCTCTCCAGGACATCAGCTGATCCTGCAAACCATGCCTGCATCCCTGAAACCACCCCTGTCTGGGGGCTCCTGCAGAGCTCTCAGGACCAGCCAGATTGAAGTCCTGGCTAGACCTGTGCTCTTGCTTCCTTGCCTGGGGCATAACACATATATGAGAGAGACCCCCATCAGCAGACCTATGGGGTAATGGGGGAGGGTGCTGATTCCTATACATGGGGCCAGCCTGGAGTAACTGGCTGCCTCCATGTGGTTTCAGTGGGCCGAGACCTGGCCCTGCTGGCACATTCAGGCTTTAGACCCCTTTCCCATGATGCAGCCTCCCCACTGAGAAGAAAGGCTGAAACTCAGGCTGCTGGTGATTAAGTCTCAGGCCAGGTTAAAGAAGGTGACCAACCCGAGGCCCTTCCTGAAAGGATGTTTTGACAGATGACAAAGGGGAGAAGGAAGAGTCTGAGGACACTGGATGCATGAAAGAACAGACAGTGAGGAACCACCACAAGAAAAGAAAACAATGGCTCTTTTGTTTAAAAGAGACAGGCTTGGCCAACTCCCCCAAGGAGTGCACTCTGGGAGGTCACATGGCAAAGAGGATGGACGTTTCATGTATTCTCTTTACCGTGCCCACAGCACTGCAGGGGCAGGCTCCACACGCGAGTCACTCTGCAGTGCAAGCAGCGGGAGAAGGCAGGTACCCTGTTCTGCAGGAATGGACAAAAGAGGACGTTATGCCAGCCTTGACGCTGTGGCCTTGACACCATTGCACACATTCAGGGTAAGCATGTGACACGGGGCCGGGTCAGTCTGCTGAGCACAGAATGTGGGGATGTCTGGGCCTGTGGACCCCGCCCCTCCACAGCTTCCCCTGCCACCCTGGGAGGTGCCAAGCCACAAACCCCAGATCACAACCTGGAGCCTCCCACACACCTGCCCGGGCCACAAGGCCACGTGATGGAGGAAAAGTTCTACATCGAGAACCTGGGGTTTGAGGACCAGCTTTCCCACCAAAAAGCTCCATGACTTGGAGCTGCTCCCTGCTCCTCTCCAGGCCTCAGTCACCCCACGAATGGTTGAATTAGATTTAGTGGTGCTCACTTTTGTCTTGGCTATGGAGCTCTTGACACAAATAGAATCTGACTCAGAAACTCGGTGGGTTAAATAACCATGAGTCGAGCTGCTGGGGAGGAAGGAAGGATGGGGTGGGCCCAGGACCAGATGATCGGCCCCCTGTGCCGTTCAGCACAGACTGAGCACCAGCTGCCGAGCCCATCCGTAAGGCCCCTAGACAGCCCTGGAACTCACCGACTCTGCTGAGTGTTAGTTACTGTGTATATCTGTGTGTGCACGTGTGTCGTGGCGGGGAAGAACCGAAGGGAGAGAAAGCAGTCCCTGCTCGCCGTGGGTTACAAAAAATGGGGAACACAGGCACACACGCGTGTGCACATCTACACAAACACACACGCAAGGAATGCACTCGCTGGTGCGATTGGCGGGCGGGTTTACTATCTCACTGGTCCTGTGTGAGATGGAGGGCAGAGCATTTAAGCTCATGGCTCCCTCGCATGCAGGATCTTGTCTCCTCTTCCCAAAAGTCCTGTGAGTTTTGTAAAAGTGGGCTTATCGCTTCCAGGTGATATACGAGGAAGTCAAGGCCTTGGATGCAAGAGATTTGGCCAAAGTTACAAGGCAACTAAGTGGTAAAGCTGGACCTAGACCCAGCCTTCTTGGTTCTGAGTGTTCATTCTGCCACATCAAGGGACAATGAGTATGAATTCTTGGGAATTCTAAGATCCAAAGAGGCATTTCTGTACACAGAACAAATCAGCAGAGGAGTTAGGGAAGGTTGACAGAAAATCACAGGGAGACACCTGGCTGACACATGATCTGTCATTAGCAGAGGCCCATACCCCTCAACAGGTGTGTGAACACACATGGCTTCCCCCCCAGGTCCCAGAACCAGGACCCCAGGCCAGGGCGGTACTCACTTGCTGGTGAGCTGGAGCTTGGGAGTGAGCCCGTTCTCTCCGAACATGGTGATGAAGACATTGGCATCTGTCCCTGCGCCACGAACATCCCCCGTGGCTACAACCACCTCGTACACTGGAGGATCAAAGGAGAGACAGGTGGCAGGCTCAGGGGGAAAAAAACACACAAAAAACCCCTGAATCCTGCATGGATGTAGAGGAGCCATAGACCCTGCCAGCCCCACACGGGATGCCCAGCCACAAAGGACTCTACAAACTCCTGCTGCGACCTGCCATCTTCTGAGCCAGGGTCAGGCCCACACCAAGTCCTGTGGGAAGTCCGACACCTCCCACTTAATGCTGCACACTCACTTCACAGATAAGGCAGGGGGACAAGCCCACGTCCCACATTACACAGTGTCAATGCCAGAGTCCAGCCCAAGGCCCCTGGAGGCCCAGTCTGCGGTCTTTGCAGCGGATGCCCTTCTAGACATGACCTTCAGAGGCTACACCTCGGTCTCACCTTCCTCTTTGTCTTCTGCATAACGCAGTTGCCTTGCCAGCCCTCACCTCCCATGACGTCCTGGGCATTGTCATTAATCTCAGGATACTCCACCCTGGGTCTGGGTGGTGTGGAGCTTGGCCAAGGGGGTCTCTCTTCGGCAGGGGCACTGATTTCCCCTCTCTTTGTCCCCTTGAAGCTTGTTTTGTTTGCTATGGATGCCTTTTCTTTGAATGCCCTGAGTTCTAATGAAGGTCCCCGTCAAGGCACCTTGAAGGAGAGGGAGGAAGCAGGACATTTGCATGACTCTGTCTTGCGATAACCAAATCCTTAATCTTCACAGTCTACACCATAAGGGTGCCTGACCTGCAGACAACCCCTTGAGCCTTTCCTGGGGCAGCTCTGGGACCCACAGTGTTGCCCAAATGGCTTCCATATGCTCAAGGGCATTTCCAAACCAAGTGTCCACAAGAGGCAACCAGCACAGTAGCAATTCTAGACCCTCATTACACGAGAGAGGATATAGAGGCCAGGCAATGCTAGGTTTGGAGAAAAGGGGAGTCTGAGGTGCCGGAGAAGGCCGAAGAAACTATAGCTGATTTAAGGGCGCACGACTTCCCCTTAAATAGGACACTAACCGTTAAAAAAACCCGACAAACTGGCTTTCTCTAAAATTAAGACCATCCCATGAATATGAAAAGGCAAGTCATAGAGTGGAGGATACTTGGAATACCTCCAACAAAGGACTCAGACTTGGAAGATATAAAGAATTCACACACATCTGAAAGAAAAAAAAAAGGACTACACAATTTTTTAATGGGCAACAATTTGTTTAAAAAATAAACATACTTACCATGTGACCCAGAAATGGCACTTTTAGCTCTTTACCCAAGAGAAATAGGAACATGTCTACACCAAGACCTGCACAGAAATGTTTGCAGCGGCTTTACCCAGAAGCCCAAGACTGGAAACAACCTAAACGCCCACCAGCAGGTGAATGAATACACTCACTGTGGCACGTCCGTACAACGCACCAGTACTCAGCAGCAGGAAAGAGCGAGCTACCGACACATGCAGTAGGGACGAGTGTCGAGTGGGGTATGCGGAGCAAGAGGAGGCGGGCACATAACTGTGAGCACTCCGATGCCATTGATACGAAACTAGAAAGGACACATCGAATCTATTTAGCACAAAAAGCAGAATATGGCTTCCTGGGGTTGAAAGTAGGAGAATTGACTGAGAAGAGGCCCAGGAAATCTGGGGGATAATTTAAACGTTCTCTAAGTAGATTGTGCTGACGATTGCACAGATGCATACGTGTGTCAACACTCTTCAAACAGCACACTTAGAACAGGTGCACTTCCTATTGGGTATATTGGACCCTGTGTTTCATATGAAGACCTGACTCAAAAACATCACTCCTACTCTTTATTAACTAGGTGAAAAAGAGACACAAAAGTAGTATCACTATTCTCAAAGGGTAAGTGGTTTTATGTCATGCTATATTATAAAAATGCTTAACAAATTATCATTTACTTAAAAAAATAGATGTGTTTCCCCTGGCCGGGTTGCTTCAGGTGGTTAGAGTGTCATCCCAGTATGTCAAAGTTTGCAGGTGTGATCCCCGGTCAGGGCACATACGAGAAACAACCAGTGAATGCATGAATAAGTGAAACAACAAATCCATGTTTAGTTCTCTCCCTCTCTAATTTCAATAAATAAAAAAATTAAAATAAATAAGCCTAACTGGTGTGGCTCAGTGGATTGAGTGCTGGCCTGTGAACTGAAGGGTCGCCAGTTCGATTCCCAGTCAGGGCACATGCCAGGTCCCCAGTAGAGGACACACAAGAGGCAACCATACACTGATATTTCTCTCCCTCTCTTTTTCCCTCTTCCCCCCTCTAAAAAATAAATAAATAAAATCTTTTTTTTAATCAAGTAAAATAGACGCATTTCATTGTTAAGTAAATTATATTCCAATAAAGTTGGCAAATGGACAAAAGACTTAAACAAGAATGTCATAAAAGAGAAAATGGCCGACAAACATACGGAAAAGGGCTCGGTGTCATTATTCATTAGGGAAATGCAAATTAGAATTACAATGAGATGCTGCAATACGCCCACCAGAATGGCTAAAATTAAAAAGGCTGAGAATACTAAGTACTGACAAGGACATGAAGCCATGGTCACTCACACATTGCTGGAGAGAGTGTAAAGTGCCAAAGCCCTGCTAGCTAAACACAACGTCCACCCTATGACCCAGTAATTCTATGTCCAACTATAAATCCAAGAGAAATAAGTGCATATGTCCGTCAAAGATGTATACAAGATCTGTAGCAGCTTTGGCCATAATAGCTAAAAACTGGAGGAAACCCAAAAGTCCATCAACCACACAGTGGTTGAATCAAAGGCAATGACGTGTTTACAAAATGCAATGGTACACAACAAGAAAAGAACAAACTATATAACGTGCCATGACACAGATAAATCTCTCAGATATAATGTTGACTGAGAGGCTAGAACAAAAAAGTATACTGCCTGATTCTATTTGCATGAAGTTCAAGAGCAAAAAAAAACTGATCTGCGGTGATAGAATCAGGAAAGCTGTTGCCGCTGGGAAGGAGAGTGAAGGAGCCTTCTGGAGGCTGGAAGAGTTCTGCGTCCTGTTCTGAAGGGTGGTCACGCAAGCAGGCACATTAGGTGAAAATTCGTCCCATTGTACCTTGATGGGTTTTGTGCCACGTATATATTATTTCTTATTTTTTTAATTTAATTTAAGATAAAAAATGTAGATAGCTGAAGAACCATCCTGTGGAAGACAATTGTATTGTGGAAAACACAAAATGCTGTTGGGCTCCAGAGGGACGCCCCCAACCCAGAATGTCCCCCCACCCGCACAGAGCTGTCAACAGCAACAGAGAGTGGCTCCTCGCTCGGAACCTAGTAAGTGGGGGACGCTCACCAGGTAATAGCCGGGATGAACGAATGAGCAAATGAATGAATGAACAAAACAATGAAATGAATGTGAACTATGGAACTAAAGGGACCTGTACTTAAATCCCAGTTCTACTATTACTGGCTATGTGGTTTTAACCAAATTTCTTTCTGAGTTCAATGCCCTCCTCTCTGAAATAGGGATCTCTTCCCCCTTGAAGGACTATGGTAAGGGTTCAATCCAATAAAACGAAGTCTGCAATGGCCATATGCATTGGCTTGGTGTGTCCACGTCCAGGAGCTTCTCTTGCAGACACTCCTCCACAGCTGGATGAATGGCGTGCGTGCCATAGGTAGGAGACCTGTCATCGTCACCACCGCTGTCATTTCCCTTACTGTCATCATCACCACCAACACCCTCCTTGCCATCACTGCATCATCTCCATTAACAGCCTATCCAAGGAGGCTGCCTTGGGAAAGTGTATTCCAACATATGCTGGGCTTATGCTGGGATGCAGGATGGGAGAGAGCCCCGGGGCTGGAAGCTTGTGCAGGGTGGCCTCTGAGGTCCCTTTGGAGCTCAGGTTCTGGTAGGAGTCCTTTTCTTCCCCTCATGGGCTCCGTCTCAGTCAGGAGATGGATGGAGGCACCTTCTCTGGTTCACCGCAAGAAGGTGGGGCATTCCAAAGCAGCTCCCACGCACCCCAGGAGGTTAAAAGGACAGGACCCTGGGGTCCAGAGCAACTGCCTTCTCAACATGGGCTACAGCCTCTCTTTGCAAAACCTTGAGGCCCCCACCTTCATTAGCCATGGTGAGCAGAATCCCCCAACCCCCACTAGGCAGGAGATGAGGGGTCAGGCCTCCCCCGAAAAATACCCCATCACAGCATGGTCAGATCAGGCTCTGCCTGAAGCAGGCCACGCCATGAAGAACAGGCTGGAGAGTATGGGCCCTGCCGTTCTAGAGTATTCTGTGCCACTAAGGCTGTGATGAGGGGCAGGTTGCCTTTACAGTGGGGGCCCAGAGCAATGCCTGCATCGCCTACTCCAAGGCTCGTAGCCCAGGCGCAATGGGGTAATGCGTGAGAAAGGGGTCGGTCTGGACCTCCAGTTCCTCCATCAAAGCACAGGGCAGGCTCCCAGGCACCACGCTGCCCGCCCTCCCCCACGGGCCCAGACCCCACACCTTTGGCCTTGTAGTACTCGTGCTCCAGCTCCTCCTCGTCACCCTCCGAGTCGTAGTTCCGCAGCTCCTCCTCGTACAGGCCGATGAAGTCAATGTCTTTCTTTCTCCGCCTTTTCCTCTGGGGCATCATTTTGCCAGCTACCCTTCCCTGGCACTCGCTGGCTCACTGTGACCACCTTCTTATACTTCCTGCGACCCTCAACTCTCTGTCCCTGAGCTCCCGCACCCACGTCGGGCTGGGCCGGAGCCTACACTTGGATGCCTGTACCCACAGAGCCCTTCGCTTCTTTGGCCTCTGAGCTAAACCTCAGTGCCTTTCTCTGCCCCTCCTCTCCCGGGCCCCTCTTTCTGCCCCCCCGGTCGCTGGCCACCTCCTCCTGCCCCTGCCCTGGTGTTTCTCCCTGGGCCTCATCACTTATTTATGGAGACCGAGGGCAGGCTGTCCTCCTTCCTCCAAGCCCCTCCCACCAGCCGCCTCTCCCCGCTTCATGGAGAATCAGGTGACATCAAGCCCTTGGCATCAGTTTCCCACCTGGCCACCCAGCAAGGGGGCCCCCTGGCACCCCTCCAGCCCCCCATCACCAACAAGGGCAGGTGGTGGCCTCCTCCCATGGAGAGTCCCCGAGCCTCACAGGCTTCAAGGCTTTTGTGAACAGCATCCCCAGGCCTGGGACCTTCCTGAGGAGGGCAGGACCCCAAATCAGCCCAGCTGCCAAGACTCGGAGGCATCCGGGCATCCGCATCCATTTCCCTCCATTATTCATGACCTCTGATCGTCTTACAGAGCAGGTGGGGTTCTCACCTGCTCCTTCTTGTTCTTTCTCTCTGCTTCCTTCTCGAGACCGCTGCCTCTGGAAGTGGCCATTTAACCAACAGACAGCAGCCCTTCGGCTGCTCTGACCAGCACCAGGGCCACCCACAAAGCACACACTGAGCTGTGAGGTATGACGTCGCCGGACCAGAGCCCAGGACACTGGGGAAGCCCACCACCCCCAGGCGACCCCACAAGGCCCCGATGGGCTGGCCAGTTTAACCAGCATCTGTTTTAACACGAGCTCACTGTCTGTGGCATTGCCCTCCGCACTCTCCCAGGAGCGAGTAGAACCCTGCAGAGCCCACTGCAGACACCAGCCCTGCTCGGAGCCCTGACCTTCATCTCCCGCATTTGGGGGATTCAGAGTCAGAGCAAGACAAGCAGAGCCCGGACCCCTCCCCTCCCCACTCAGTCAGCAAGGAGAGTTTCCCTCAGGGTCACCAGGCTCCTCTTCCTTATTTATTTTACTTTAAGATTTTATTAAGGCACTTAATTAGGATTTTATTCAGATTCCTTACAACCCAGGTTGTAAGATTTCTAGGTAAACCCTAAAATACTAGAAATTGTCAATCCATTTGCAACTCTCGTCCCCCTGACCTGGCTGCGTGAGGTGGTGGCGAGAACTGGGCTGACTGCCACCTCCTGGCTGTGTGGCCTGGGCGAGGCCTGTCTCCCACCCATAAAGCAGGATACTGATGACCCACTAAAGCATAGCGAGCACTTGAAAAAAGCATTCAGGGAGTGGAAGCCTCTGGAACACAGTAGGGGCTTCATAAGTGCTCACGACTTCCAATGGGCATTTCTCTTTCTTGTTTTGTATGGGGGCGATAGGCGGTGATGGGGGTGATGGCTGTTACCATTTCAGATTGTTCCAGAAGCCCTCCTTCAGACCCCATATGCGAGGATGGACCCCTGTCCACTCCATTCGCCATGGCACCCAGCCCGCAATCGCACACTAGCAAACCCAAGTGGACAGACCAAAATGCCTGCATCCTCCCAATTTCCTGGGAGGGTGGCCTGGAAACGGCCTGCTCACTTGGTGCCCTCTCCAAGCTTCTGCCAGCCGTGAGCTCTCTGGGGGCAGGGACCGCAGCCCCAGGTTCGGGGTAAGGCCCCAGCACCTGTAACACACCCGGCACACAGTGAGCCTCCCTGGTCTCATTTGTTCAGTGACCAACCGATGAATGAATGAACGGACATACACGTTGACAAAGTACAGGCAGATCTAGAAAAGGAAGCGGCCATTAACACAAAGCTCACTGTTTCCACAAGGACAACAGTGTGGGTTGAAAAGAAACCACACTCTAAACAGTATACTGGGGAAGTGAGTGTTCCAGGACCGAAACCACTCCAAGTACACTGGCCTGGAGGGGAGGACATTTCAAGGGTCCACGTGCCCTGCCTGCACAAATAACAGTTGGTTCTGACCTTGCATAGAGGTACCCAAGCCAGCAAGACAGGCTATCAGAACAAAGAGACCAGGGTGGGACAGCACCCAAGTAATCAGTCAGGGACAGGACAGCTCCAGGAACTAGAAAGCTGCAAGAACAAGTTCCAGGACCTAGAGAGCCATGGGGCAGAAACACCCAATAAGAGGAGGAAGGAAGCAGAGCAGTTCAAAGTACCAGTTACAAGACTACTTCCCCATAGTGTGTGAGGTTTTTCTTTAAGAACCCTGCACAGAACCACCATGATGGGAACTTGTCTGAACTGGGAACTGGCCTCAGCTTGACTGCTTCCCCTCCCTTGGCCCCGAGGGACCCCACTTTCTATAAACTCCTTGCTTTGTTATTAGCTCTCTCTCTTCTTGTGGTTCCTCAGCGGCTCTGATCTCACAAGTATGAACGATCGTTCCATAGGGTGAATACTAGACCAACCCGTATGGCTGAAAGGGGATTCTTATGATCACAAAATAGAAGGTTTCGATGCAACCCAGGAGGAAGGATGGGACAGTGCATGCTGCCTGGTGACAGTGGCTGTGGGGTGACAGCTATGGAGGCTGGATAGCGTCCCTTGTCAGCCTGCAGCGGGGGAACTCCAGCGGTCCTTTGTGTTTGGACTTGACAGCCCTCTGCTGGTAGCTGGGAATTTCTAAGGTGCTGAATGGCAGGTGCAGGTAGACAGTGAAGCAGCTTTGACAGGTCACCCAGCCAGGGGCCGCCATGAGTGATGGGCCAGCTCCAGGCTCTGCTGCAAAACCCAGACCAGAGAGAAGGGCTCTGTCCCCAAACCACTGGGGACAGAGGTGGGGGAGCAGGAGAGCTTTCCGCTAGCTGGCCTGGGGCCCCCAGCTGGAGGCAGAAGGCAGAAGGGAGGAGGGAGCTGGTTTGCCACAACCATAGGGCTTTTCACATTCCGCCCTTGTCACCTCCTTGTCCCACCACCTCCCTGCCGGGAGCTGAGGCCACCTACTGCACCCTTAACCCTAAGCCCCAGCACCTAGGAACCCTGGCCACCACCTCCCCTTCCCTGTTCTGGGTCTCCTCTCCCCATAGAGGCTCTCTGTCAAGGTCAATGTCTCCTAAAATGGGATGCCAAGACCAGCTGGATTAGACGCTGCTGGAGAACTCATCAAAATGCCGATTTCTGTTGTGATCTTCCCCTTCCCACTCTAGGCCTACTTAAGGTGAAACTTGGAATCTTCGTTTTCAACAACCCCTTCTCCCCCAGTGGGGGTGTTATATGGACTAAATTGGGAAACCATAGTAGCCTATACCCTGGCACATGAACTTGCTAATTTGATCAGCCCACCTGGACTAAGGGTAGGGGATTAGCCAGCTTCCACCCCAGGGCTGCACACCTAAGTCGCCAGAAGAGTTTCTAAATGCTGACACGTGGGAACGCCCGAGAAGCAGGCAGTGGAGAAAGGCACTGCACAAGGTCCCTCCCAGGAGCAGAAGTAGATATGCGTGTATATAGGTAGCAAACAGTCCTTCCAGACACCCAAGTCTGAATGGACAGTGCTGACAGCAAACAAGAGGAGGAGACCAGAGAAGAGAGACAAGGCTGGGGAGCCGGGGACTGCGGGAACCCTCCAGGGCAGGAGCACCCAGTGAGCCCACGTCTCGGTTCCTCCGTCTCCTCCACTTTGACCCGGCTGGTGGGAGCTCCACTCAACAACTATCAGCGTAAAGTACTGAGGTGCAGAAACCTCATTTGGTAACCACAAACCAAGAACCTACAAAAGATACACAAAGAACAAAGGCAAAGGAACCCAAACAAAACACTAAAGGAAAAAAAGAAACACAAAGGAAGAGATGAAGAGAAGAACAGAACAGAGGACACCTATAAAAAAACTAAAAATAAGTAACAAAAAAATGCCTGCAAGGACATACTTATCAATAATTACTTTAGATGTAAAAGGATTAAATGCTCCCATAAAAAGACACAGGGTGGCTGAGTGAATTAGAAAACATGACCCATCTGTATGTTTACAAGAGACTCACTTCAAATCGAAAGACAATGCAGACAACGTGGAATGAAGGAAAAAGACATCCCGTGCAGATAGAAATGAAAAGAAAGCTGGAGTAGCAATATTTACATTGGACAACATAGACTTTAAAATGAAAAAAATGTGAAAACAGACAAAGGGGGACATGACAATTATAAACGGGTCAATCCAGGAAGAGGATGTAACATCATAAATATCTACGCACCCAGCACAGAAGCACCCACACGGATAAAGCAATTATTAGTGAGCGTAAAGGGAGAAATCCACAGTAATACAATAGTAGTGTTGTATAATAGGGTGTGGAGAAAACGAACCCTCTTACACTGTTGGTGGGGTTGTAAGTTAGCGCAGCCACTGTTCAAAAGAGTATGGGGATTCCTCAAAAAGTTAAGAATGGAGCTGCCATATGATCCAGCAATTCCACATCTGAGTATTTATCCAAAGAAAACACAAACACAATTCAAAAAGATATGTGCACCCCTATGTCCTTGCAGAATTAGTAGTAATAGATAAAATATGGAAGCAACCCAGACGTCCATCAATAAATGAATGGATAACGAAGCTGTGGTATATTCATGCAGTGGAATATTATTCAGTGATAAAGAAGAATGCATTCTTGCCATCTGTGACCATATAAATGGACCTAGAGAATACGATTCTAAGTAAAATAAGTTACAAAGAAAAACAAATACCATGATTTCACTTACATGTGGAATCTAAAAAGAACCAAATAAATGAATAAACAAACCAAACAAACCCCAACCAACACACAGATACAGAGAACAAGCTGATGGTTGCCAAAGGGAAGGGGGTGGGAAATGGGAATAAAAAAAAATGTTTTTGCTTCAACACACATAAAAAATGC